GTTATGGGTATTTTTATTTATTCAATCACAAAAATGCAGACGAAGCTGCTTGTTGTTTGTAGTTTATCGTGAAATCATACCAGCCTTAAAGCTAGTTGAGACTACGACAGATAGTGTGTTGTGATCGTTGTTTACAAAATTATGCTTATATGAAACACACACCATTACGCATCAATTTCCACCGACTTTTGAAAGTGGTATGATTGCAAGCAGAGATGTTTAATGAGACCTCAGTGGTTGATGTGCAAGGATACAAAGAACCTTCCACTGAGTAATTTCAGTAATACAGCACACTGAAGAGAATCACTTTTCATTTCTTTAATCTATTGAGGGTTGGGAATTTTGCCTCAGCCGACAAGAGGAGCAGAATTTCAAGCAGACGTCAATTCTGTGCAGATAGAATTTAGCTGCCAATTATGCCACCTGTGCGGCTTATATAAAATAGCCAAATATAGCGACGCATCAATCTTTATTCCAACCTGATCTTGTCGTTCTTTGTTTCATCGTATAAGAGTACTGTGACTTCATATTCGTCTTGGTGACTAGCAGTATAAACCAAAAGGCGGATTTCGATCTGTTTGGGATTCATCGACTGGTCGCACCAGCACCCCATTGAGTGTTGTTCCCACTGGAACCGGAACCTCGTACTCACGAAGGCTTATACACCGTTCCACTGGGCCATGACAGGCATCTCCTGTGCACCAGGTATTACTGTTGCATCGACACTTATAGTTTTTGTCGTTATACATGGTCGAATTCCCCGACTTCTGCGATCCTGCATCATGATCAACCTGCCGCTTCCTCAGAAGCACTGCTGTGTATTTTGATTAGAAATGAAAACGAACAATTACACATGAAATCTGTGATGGTATCTCGTCTTCTAAATCTGATGGCCACATCTCAGCTGTACAGCAGGACAGGACGAACTGCGGGGTAGGATGGTCGTCTCTTGATAGATAGTCGGATATCTCACAAGCTGGAGCTACAGATGACGCAAGTTGGTAAACACCAAAAGGAACATCTGTATCCTAACTGAGATTTCGTTGGCAGTCACCCCGTTCGGGCTGATGCAACTCCTCGAGTAAGTAAAGCTGTCGACATACTCCTCCACCTCATTTTCTATCATTAAACTGGAAGTACTCGCAGCAGACCAGTCCTGTAGCAGCTTCTTATACTTGACAGGTCTGAAAGACATGTTTGGGATGATCTGATTTCTGTTCAGCATGCTGGGAAGGCCCCTTTTGTATTTCTTCTGCGTCTTCGTCCAGCAAGGAAATATCGTCTGCGTACTCAAAGTCAAGCAGATGACCTCCAGGGAGTTAGTCAGTCCCTATGAAGTTAGACGTACCTACGGTTGACTTCATTGGAATATCCACGACGAAGTTAAGTAGAAAGTCCGACACCGGACACCCCTGGCGAACAACACAAGTTGTCGTCAATTCCAATGACTTCTGTCCGTAAGTCCTGACACTGTTGTGTGAGTTCGAGTGGAGAGCTTTGATTAGCGTTACATACTTTCTCCGTACCCCCTTCACGGTAGGGCACTACCACAACACCTCACAGTATAAAGGGTCAAATTCCGCCTTCATGACAGGAAACATTGTATTGGTAACCATAATAGTGATGGCAATACTGGTGATTTGAGCCATGTAGGGGGATGTAAGATGCCTCTTTGAACTCCTTGGCGGGATGGAAATTAGTGGTTAGAGGCTAGTCACGATATGTCTCAAAGTCTATCACAATGTCGCAACTGGACGCACTTTTATCGTCTTCAAAAGTTAGAATATTTTGCCAACTTTCATACACTTATTCCCTCTCCTCTCATAATTTCCAGATGTAACAACACTCTTTTTCTATCCACTTTTTCTTTGAGCGCTGCTATGAAGCATAAAAATGGTAACTAATGCACTTAAGTAATAGGTTCTATTCTCGTTTGTCTGCCTGCCTGTATTTCTCTCTGTCTGTCTGAGAAGTAGGCTACTACGCATGTATGTGTACCATTGAAGCTAATGTGCCGCCATCACTTTAAACTTGCACATAGTTGGAAGTACTGCCCCGATACTAACTAGTAAACTGCAATCCAGTTAAGGTAGTCAGAATCCATCCAGTATTTCACAGGTAGGAAAATAACTACTAAAATGGTACCGATCCCCAGAGTTCAAGTGATGGACGAAAACTCCCATCAACTGACTGCATGAACACTTAAAATAATATTCCAGAGCAAACTGCTAATAAAAGAAAACAGGCCAATATATGAAGAGGATTTTGGTGCTGTGTTCCCTGATCCGAATGGTTCAAATGTAAAGCTTCCATTATCATTCTAGGCAGCATGATTAGCACAAACTTTAGAAAGAGGTGAACTGTTCAGTTTCTTTCCACAATTGGCTTACTAGCTTGTCCTCATGTAAGCGGTTGTTTCTGAAAAAGTCTTTTCATTGTTTCCATACTGATTTATATTGGTTGTCTTATTGAGTCGAACTTTGATCTTCTTCTTGTTTCTTATTGGTTGATAGACTAGTCATCGTCAATATGTTTGTTGATCACTGATTTACACGAATACCAAAATAACTCTTCAGGAAACTAAAACATCAAATAAAGTCATGCGAACGCTCCATCAACTTTTGATAGAATTTTTTAAAAAGATCAGGCATTTTCAGACTGATAACGACGAATTGATGGTATCTTTCTACGTTACAGCTATGTACACCTCAAATGAATTGAAACTGGCTAAGGTCACAATGACTCCACTCCCCAACAATCATACATAACTCTAAGAACACGTACAACTGCAACCTTCAGGTTAGATGGAATTAATTGATTTATGCCTTACAACATACTTTCGATTCAGCCGCAAACTCCACGAGCAGATAGGGAACACTTATGGGGCTTACTGCCGAAGCAGTAACGCAAAAGCTGGAAACTGTGGCATTGCCGTTGACCAAAACAAAATACTAGTCCCATATGCAGGTAAGGCGTTTGTTATCATTAAAAGAAACGGGTTGGAAAGCGTCTAAAAATCAATCAACAACATTTTCTATGACATCAAATTTACAGTTGAAGAGGAATCAAATGGCAAACTTACATTTTTAGACGTCCTGGTTACTAGAATTGGAAACTGAAGTATATAGAGAACAAGCTCCTGCGGATCAAATCCTCAGCTACAGTAGCGACAACCCTGTAGCACGCAAAATCATTTGTATAAAAACATTGTTCTAAAGAGCGGAGACACACTCTGGTACATCAACCTTGAGGAGAAAAGAATGAAACTACATGGTGGCTATTTTCGAGAAGAGCCGGCCATCTAGGCAACTTCCTCAGATGTTTACATTATTCACGTCTAACTATGAAGCCAACCTCATAAAGTACCTAGGGGATCATGTCACCCTAACTGATGAACGTCTCCAAGATCCCAGCCAGATTGTTGATACCTTTTGGAATCTCTGCACCTCATAAGCCAGCTAAATCTTTTCACTCTCTGGGATCCAGGCCAGAAAATACAATGGCAAAGGAAGACAAAAGAAAAATTATCCACAAAATAAACCGCAGAAACCGAGAAAAACACCACATTTGACAAAGTGGTTGCCCTCTTCCTATCCGTTTACTGGAAAATCAACTAACAGGGAATCTTCATTAAATAACTTCTCTCACATGAATGCATAAGGACAACTGTAGATATAAATTTGACTAGGGAAGTGTAGAAATCCTAGGCAGAGGATGTAAAAGGAATGTGAGAGAATTTTCAGAAGCTGGGAATTAAAGTCAGTCAGTAATAAACAGGCATGTTGACAATGATCCAATCTATTAACCAATAAGAAACACCAAGAAGATTGAAATCAATCGATCGAAACAAATGTGGAGACTGACAAGACTTTTTCAGAAACAACCGCTTACATGAGGACAAGCTAGTAAGCCAATTGTGAAGCGAAACTCAACAGTCCACCTCTTTCTAAAGTTTGTGCTAATGATGTTGCCTAGAATGATAATGTAAACTTTACGATTCGACCATCCAACCTAGGGTACACAAAACCATAAATAGCATCCTCTTTTGCAAACAATATTTTCCATCATCTCAATATATAGAATATGTGGTAGAGATAATTTAATTCCAAACTACCTATCGAACAGGATAGTAGAAAAGTCAGTTAGCAGTTAATAAGTTATTACTATGATTGTGAAGCTGCTTTTCTGTTCCTCATGAAAAATGCTCGGGTGTATTTGAGGCTTCTGCCAGTCCAGAAGTGGCCGCTACCAGCTTACAGCTTACTAGATTGGTAATTTCGTAATTTCATCAAACAATGTCCACTCAGGTTCTAGAATGTCCTACTTGCATCGAAATTAAGTAAAAAATTTTATTGAACAGTAACAAGAAGAGATAGTATTTTCAAAGTTAGTTGTTCTCCAATCTACATTCTCAAGTGGCAAACAATACCTCGCTCTGAACATTCGCATCCCGAGTTAAAAATACTTGCCAAATTTTCTTGAGGCAGGATTTCCTGGAACCAGTGAGAGAACCTAAAGTTTGAGGTAGAGAAAAAGAACTTTTCTGGTGAAAATGAGTAACTCCTTTGCTGCTGAAATCATATAATTGGATAGCGACTGGATACTAGCAATCGATACATCAATGTTTCAATACATTACTGGGTTGGAAATTATAATGTAAGGCGATTGAATAGTGTTCAACATAACACTAGTTTCCTTACTCATCCAGTGGTTATAGACTGGTATCATGAGATTGTTAGAATTTTGTAATCATTAGAGGTTTATTCGCCTTTTGGATAGATTTTATCAATTGATAAATAATTTAAGATGACACGTATTGAGCAAATAAGTGAATCAGGAGAAACACTTTAATACTGTACTATTTCAGTGCAACTTACCTTTTGAAATTTACATCATAGTGAAAATACTTAGAATACAATAATGGTTGTAATAGGTCTTTTTTGAACATTTATGCACATATGTCCATTATTGATCTACTTGTTCAGGTAAATCAAAAGTCATGTGACTAGATAAATGACAATTTAGATCAGTCTTTAATTCTCTTGACCTGATGTCGAACTAGCCTCCATAGTTATTCAACAGCTGCAGCAATACACCTTTCGGACTAGACGACAAAATCTACTTGAATTAATAACTGAACTAGATGGATGATAAGGAAATTCGACGTCAGAAGAAAACTAAAGATGATGAAAACAAAATCGCCAAAATGAAACAACATTTATGTACACTGGGTGGTAGAAGTACATTTCACGGTGTTGACGTTCTCTTAGAAGTCAAGCCTGGTTGGAGTAGACGTTTAACTCTTCTGATTTTATTGTCAATGTGTGTAGGATGTTTCATCACAGTATCTGATCTGGTAGCAGGATTTGTCAATATGCCTATTTCAACTGTAATTAATTATGAGCAGAAAAATTTTGAATTTCCCACTGTCAATATTTGTCCAGATAGTCCAATGAGTATTGAAAGATTGAATAACTATCCTGAACTTAGAGCGAAGTAAGTAAAACATTTACATGCAGTGTATCTTTTGGGATATGAAGTCATTCATTCCATCATCCTGGGAGTACTTCAACTTGTGACTGCCTTTCATGTGCCAAAGGAAGTTTTAATTTTAGAATAGTGCTTATTAAGCTTTGAGTGATATGTTGATTGAGATGATCTGTATGAAAATCTACCTCTGGATGGTAACCTTTACCAGGATTTATTATTGTATAGTGGAAGAAATATGTACGTGATATTCTGCAGCGTGAACATTGACTAGATAACTTGACCCCCTTGTGTTGTTTTGTGTAAGGGGGAGCTCGCGTCAGCCGGCGGGAAACTATAGATTTAAATTTTTTATTGTCTGGCACTCATCAGCAAAGCTTGCCGATAAAATCAACAAGAACTAAGCTTTCTTTGAAATATATGGTGTGATATTGCATGATGTTTGAAGGAATAATAGTGTACTTTATCTGTCTGAGATTAAACACTGTTCTTCGAAGGCTGTATTAATTTATTAATTTTCCCAAGCCTTCTGTTTTTGCTCAAAAATGAACTTAAAAAGAATTTTAAAATAACATATGGAACAGAAAGACTTGGAAAAATCAGCCTATGACTTTGCGCTGTGGTGAATAGGTTAAACTTATCGCAGAGGGTTACAGAAACCTACTGGTATTAAATGAAAGTATCTACTTAAACCAGTAGAGTTAAGGTGACGTGATCTTTCCAACGTAAAACTTTGGAAAGAATACGATGTCAAGAAAACAACGAAGACGATATTACAATTAATGGGAAGATAAGGCATAAATATCTTGGTAGACTGATTCTGAACAGCTGTATCCAAACAACTTTTCAAGCTGTCTGGCAAAACTCAAATATAAGGTCTACCATTCCCTGCATATTACAGACTAGCAGTAAGACATTTCAAATATTAGTGCTACGCCTTGTTCTGACAAAATCGAACTATTTTTCAGCTCAACTGTACTTTAGTTAACATTATTTTTTGAGGTGGATTGTGACTCTGGTATGAATAACACAGGTTCCAGACACTTAAGTCTACGAAATTTATTTTCTTCATCAAGTGATTGAATCATTTTTGTAAATACTCTCTGCCTAACTTCTAAAACACTTCCTTTGTAGCACCATTCATTGCACATAGCTGATGTTATGAACAGTGGTGGTTAAATAACTGAAATCATCTCTACGATAACCTTAATGGTAGCATTTCACAATCACGTCTACTCAGTTCACTTGACCATTCATAGTCATCCAGATGTCAGTTTCTGTGATCACAACTGAAGTTCATCGTGGATTAGTGAAATATTTTAGCTCCATTTCAGTAGTTTTGATATAGGTAATGATTGGTTAGTATAATGAACATGAGGAAATTTTTATTGTTCGTGTTTTGTTAAATCATGTAGTATAATCTGTTATGTTACTGAATCAATATAAGTAGCTTGAGATTTTGAAAATAAATATAAAAGGTGGAATATGAAAAAAGCGGTCACTTTTAATCCTCAATGATTGCGTAAATAGTGTGTTTGTACAAACTTTAAAACTCATAGTCTTTATTTCAAGAACGAAGATGTTTGAAGCAAAAAACACTGACAAATATCACTGCCAGATATCTGGGGAGGCAAATGGAGTTTCAGAAGGTAATGAGTAATTTGGTGAAGTGGATCAGAAGTGAGTGTAAGCACTTCAACTGAGTTAAGACGAGTTTTGATTGAAGTAAGTTCACTACTGTAGTGAATTTGGCGAGTGAGAGTTGCAACAAATATTTTCACCTGTCAAACTAATACTCGGGTATTTCTCTTGGTAAATCCTATCTCTCTTTCTGCTAAATTCTGTCTAGGTTATTAAACCACATTGAGATAAACATTAGTCCAAAAGGTTTACAGACTTGATAATTACCTTCTTCTTCTGTTAAGAGTCACTGACTAAGGCAAAATATTGTTTCATTGCCTTTCAATTTTATTTGGGTTCTTTAAAAACCATTGACAATAGAATAACTGCAAGCTTGTTGTGTTGTTCAGTTTCACTGATCATGTATCACAATTGTGTATTAAGGAAACATAGAACCAGCTTATAGGATACTTGTCCCCATAGAAGTACTGAAATTTTTTACTAGCACCATTGGTTTCACAGATTCATCAAAAACCAAACTGTACTACTTAGTAGTAAAAAGAATTCATTTGTGGCCCGCAAATTAGATCTGAACGGGGCTTATATGTCAGCCCTCCAGCTCTCCTCAAAGTTAAAAGGCTGTTTCTAAATTGAAACGGTGTTAAGCAGCAAGACCGAAAGGGTTGTCACAAGAAGTTTTAAAGGAAGAAAGCAGGAAATAAATGGGTAGGGTTACGGAGATATCAGATTGTTTATGGGAATTAGAGGTAGTTCTGTCAAACTTATCCAGATGGATGATAATTCCAGTCTATGAAAAGGGAGAGAAGCCTTCTTTTGGCAACCACTGACAAATCAGTTTGACTAACATCATGTTCAAGAGCTTGTGGACTGAAGTTATCTGAAGCCTCAATGAAGCTGGTGAACGAAGAATTCGAGGGAGCCAGACAAGTTTCAGACTTGGACGAGGGAACATTGATGTGATTTTCACCCTTTGATAAACTACGGAACACTGGCATACGTACTGCAGACCAGTATGTCATATTTCTTGACCTGAAGGAAGTATTGAACCCTATCAACTGTAACTGTAACTACCAATTCACATGTACGTCCCAAAGCATACACATCCGAAAAACAGGGAGAAGACTTCTTTCCTGCACTTCTGAACATATGTCATAGAATTTAAGTCTTAAGGTTCTCCAGCGTTTAAGTAATGTGATCGCCTGGCATTGTCTTGATACTGGACATAAAATCGATGTATTGAAGTCATTCACAATTATCAATAAACAACGGAAATCCAATCTTTTGCGGTTCGCTGAAGCAGTTGAAGTTGAAAGACTCAAACTTGATCTATGTATTCAGGAAGATACTGTTATCAATCTTACATTGCCATGGTAATTTTAATCTCCTTAATTTGTAAGTACAAGATTTCATGACTTAATATTGTTTGCCCTTCAATTTTTTTCGATCTATGTCAAAATCTACTCTCACTTTCTGAGTTGCATTCATCTTATTTCTCAATATAATGAAAACCTGTTGACTTTTTACTACGTTTACGTACAACCCTCTCCTATATATATATCTTCTTAAATGCACATTCTATCTAGTGTTATTGCTTGTGTGATACCATTGTCGATTGGACCGATTTGATCGGTCTGTGTTAGCACATGGGCTCCTGTGCAGATGCCTCGATATTGCTTATGTCTTAATTATGTATAGTAATGATGGGCAGTGGCTAGCAGTGGAATCCAGGATACGCACTTTGTCCTATTTGGGACTCGTCAGCTGGATGTACCTGCCTCCCAGTGAGTGGCATTGTTCCCACCTGGACTCGGACTCGCTAGCGATCGCTTCAAACGCCAGAGAGTTACCCGCTACACCACCGAGCCAACAGAGACCAGTCAATTCGGTTCAATCAACGACGGTGTCATACAAGCAATAACACTAAAACTATACCCGTCACACAACAGGTGGCCATCGTGGCTCGGTGGTGTGGTGGATAACGCTTTTGCGTTTGAGGTGATCGCTCGCGGATCTGAGTCCCTGTAGAAACAGCATAACTCAGCGGGAGGCAGGTACATCCGACTGACGATTCCCAAATAGGACGAAATGCGCATCCTGGATTTTACTGCTAGCCACTGCCCATCATTACTGTACATTCTATCAGTGTATAAATAGTTCACTTTCGACTAGTCTTAACAACTTCATCAATGTCGGTCAACCCAATTCTTTTTTACTTTCCATTTCAATTCATATTAGATTTTATCAGTCGACTAAATTACGTTGTATAAAACTATTCCTCATAAACATTATATTTTATAGGTTGTGAAGCAGCTGAGGAGAATCCATGAAGTACATGTATGGTAATTCTACTACTATTCTTCTTCTTGTTTTATCCAACTTCATTCTTTACTGTAAAACTGGGCGTCTTGGATTATTAAGTGTGGAACGTACATCAGCGTGCTGATGTTTACTGGTCTTATAGTGAGGAATATAATGCTGACAGAAGTTTTCAGGCTTTCGTCAAACTAGCTTATAGCTTAATCACTTTTGAATTGTATGTCAAAATCAGCTTTTTGTATAGTCTGTTATCTTTTGTTATGACACAACCCCACGCATGATCAACAGTCTTATATATTTTGAGGAGGAAAAGTTGCAAAATCAAGATGAGATATTATTGAATTCATATTCAGTTTAGTCCACTGTCACTTCATTAACTGTTCTTTAGCACTATTATGTTACATTTGGTATACTTGCATAAGAAGCAGAATAGTTCGACGGTTTATTCTAATTATGCAGAACCTTTGAGACAAATGTTCGACGTTTTTTTAACACATTTATTATTTTCGGGATTACGATCTCCAGGTTACTGAACTTATTAAAGTGAGCTATCTAAATTGTTGAATGCATTTGGCTTCCTCTACGTGTTTGATATCAATTTTAAAACATTCCTAAATATTCATACTATTCAAAACTTAAGATGTTCATCAAAGACTCACAAGACCTTTAAAAGGAGGCGAGGGAATTTTCTACAGGGTTTTTAGGCCAGTTGTACGATTGCTGTTGAAGTGACTGAATGGGAGCGACTGACAGAATAATATGAAATGCAAGAAACACTATTAACGCAGTGAAACACTTGGACCGAATACAAATAGCCACTGTTCTCCCTCAGACCTGGTACTTCACTGAATAGCGTAAATCAGAAGACAAAGACTGGCCTGAAACTATAAAGAAGACTACTTTATTTGATAAAAAAGACATATTATTTTTATGTAGTTTTTCCTCAGAAAATAAAGCAACTACATCAGAAGTTGGATACTCATTTTCATTAGTCATCTGAAGGGCAGGGTTGTCCAATGGGGTTTTTCCTGCCTATGCAGTAACATGATACAAGGCTGAAATCCAAAACCTTTACCATGGTGGCTGATGACTATGAATACCTATTTCGACTTTGGCCACCTCTTATCCAGTATGTGACAGGTAAGATTAAAAAACAGTTCAGTGTTCTGACTGTGAATATCCAGATGTATTCTAGATACTTTCGAACGTTCATTCGACTGAAAAGAAGATATTTAAAGAGTCCTGTTTGATGATGAATGTCTTTTTAACTGAAATCACAGAGGAACGAACTACCTAGTAATGAGAATTTTCTCAGTATAGCTTATAATCCTTATCTAATCCACACTATCGTTTATCCTGAGTGAGAAACTCATTCAGTTGTATATTCTTGTAATACGTCCAAAATCTTACTCATTTGCTTTCCAGTTTTGATTTCTAGACTACCTCACCTCTTCTTTGTCAAGATCTACTGTTTGTCAGTTATCTTTTACTATTAAATGGAAGTACATCCTGTGTACTTGCTGAGTCGTCGGCTCACGTTTTTTCTCTTCTTCTTTTTCTTTCCAGATCCTCGTGGTCACCACTAAACTCACACTACTATATACATCCCTTTGCAACAGCTTACCTATCTACCCACAGGCTAGATGAAAACCTATCAACAGCTGGTCGTTACATTATTAAGCTATTTATGTACATTACAGCAAGAAAATCCACATCTTAAAAGCAATAAGTTATAAGTAAAATATAGAACGTCGATTTTTAAGACGAACAATAATTTGTAAGTTCCAGCTAGGATTAGGGCTTTACATCCAGGTTTCTGACTTTCATTATTGACCACTTGGTAAGTTAGTCAATAAGTTGGCCAGTGCATCTAAAGCAAATTCATAAGTAAGGAGTGCTGACCCTATTTAAATATGAGGTTCTAATCTGCCCTTCGTCATGCCTGAATAGCAGCAATTGTCTTCTATTCTCATTTAAATCGGTGGGAATGTTGCAATCAAGCAAAAGTCCGTAAAAAGTCACATTTCCGAAATATACAAACACTTGAAGTGACAGTAAATTTCATTTCTTAGTTCGTAACCACTTATGTTCTTGTTATCAGTTTAAATTTACTTCTATTCCTCCTTAATGCAAAGGTATATACAAATTGCTGATTACTGGATTTCTCAAGCTTCATCAAACCTCACAAAATGCTCACCTAAAGATGGAGATTGGCGAGTTCGCACTAAGCGTACTTTTCGTCCACACTTTTTATATAACCGATCCTGGTTAATGTGGAAGTGGTCAGATTTTTTTGTAAGTTGCGAATATGGTGGTGTACCTTGTAATCTGGACCCAGTTAGTATGGATATTCCGGTGGGTATTATGTCGCATGCGAATAATCTACCACTTGGTCATGAAGGCATAGCAAATTTGGGAATTGAATTAAAAGGTATAATAAAAGCCGTTAGCACAAGTTTAATAAATAGTTTGCCATCAATGTGGTCAAATGATAAACCTGTTGTTCAAGAACAAAACACAGATCCCAAGAATTGGTCACATGGAAGAATTATTCTAATTGATCACCCATCAAAATATATTTGTTATCAGGTAATCATTTTTTTTCGAAAATAACAGTTTTGTATTTATGACTGTACTACAGTTGTAGCTGTAACTGTTTGCTGATTCTCCCTAGCTTTAAAATCTACATATTTACGAGTGTATTAAAAAAGTCACCACCACTTTAAAAAGTCCTTTGAGAATTTTTGAGCTGTTAACTAGTCACTTATTGCAATAGAGCAATTGCATTGAAAACTGTCAGTGAATTCTGAATCACCTTTCATTACTGTAAACGTATGATTACACATTATGGACCGTTAAATATAGGGCCTGAAGAACTCAGTGAAAATAATATTCTTTGTTCATTTCAATGTTTTTTTTAAGAATTATAATGAGAATTTTCTAGGAGATGAATGAAAAATGTTGAGTATTTGTTGGACACGTAAAATATTCCCAAGGGATTCTATGTTGTAGTATAGTGTACTGTGTATTGAATGGATTTAAGCATTTTCAAGAACATAGTTGCTTTCATTGAGTTACAATCTGTCAATATATGGTACCATACGTATGTATAGTTGGAAAATTGAGAGTTTGAGCGATCATTCCTTGTATGACTGGTGCGCATCATTTCAATTATCAAAGTCAACTGAAATGAGTTCATCAATTCTCATAACAGAAAACTTGTTGATGTGTATTAGACTCGTTTATTTGATATACAACACACAGTGATACAGTATTATTTACTTGATGACGTTTCCAGCATAAATTATTGCTCATAATCACACAGCTTTCAACATCTAATTTTCAGTCCTGTCACTCCATAATCTTCATTTTTATTGGTAGGGAAATTTTCCATATCTCTGGCACAGGTACTGCGTCACTCCTATTACATGTGTTGGGTGTTGATTTGATGACCAAAGATTCAGTGATCAATCTCTCCTTCGAACTAATTATATTAGACTTAGGTACAGTGGTTTTATCCGATGCTATTGTGCAGAGGGAGAGTGATTACACGTTAGTTGGGTGGAAGCAATACAAAGGAATCCCTGGACCTAGGTTTCGCGCATTTTGGCATTCGTCAGCAGGCTGTATCTGTAACCTCTGCGGCAATGATGTCCCATCTGATATTCGAGCCTGTGTCACCCAGTGATATAGCCAGAGACGTTACAGCTGAGATATTTGGACGGCGACTGACCTACTGTTGGACTGGATTAGGCACACTGACCGGTCAAGATAGAGAAACAAACTTCGTGCTGTCTAGTCTTAAGTACTGGTCGAACTGACTGATTGTTGAACCTTTATTCATCGAATGAACACAAAACATGAAATCGAAATGACGCTATACCTATAAAAGAGTTATGGAAAATTTTACTACCAATAAAAACAAATAAAATGAGATATCAGGACTGCAAAGTCGTACAATTACTTTGATATGATTATGAGCAATAATTTGTGCTCGAAACATCATCAAGTAAATCTTACTGTATAGCAGTGTGGTGTATATAGAATAAACAGATCTAATTTGCAATTAAATTTTACCACAGCGCCCAAGTTTTACACTTAATAAGGCAGCATTCATCTCTGACTGACATCAGTTGATGAACCAGTCGAAACCTGGGATCGCTGAACAGCTGTTTCGTAGTAGTATGGGATTCCTAAGCAGTACACACCAAGGACGCAGCTGGAGATCAAACTCAGGACCTTCAGGTTTCACGGCGAACTGAGGAAAGTAAGGATCTGTTAGCCGCCGAGCCCAAACTCAGTGGCTGAATGGTTATTGCGTCCACCATGATGCCTGAAGATCCTGATTTCAATCCCTAGACGGCTCGTGGGAATTCACTCTTGAGATTTTAGGTATTTTCGGTGAAAAACACAAGCTACTCACAAATAAAAAGTAGCAAAAAGCAAATTTTATCAAATGTATTAAAATTAATCTTGAATAACATCAAACAACTGAATTCTCGAAAGCAAGAACAAAAGGTAACTTAGAACTATAGTTTCGCTGTTCGTTTCTTCCATGAAATACCTTCTCAACTGCAGCCAATCGGTAAACAGTTGAAAGAAACAGATTAGAAGGAAAGGCGGATGAACGTAGAAGCTGGCATAAAGTGCATCGGTTCAAGTTGTCACACTTCACTTTACCATGTAAAGAAGTACGGTGAAAAAGTGATAAACGAATGTGGTGTTAGATTGATTTAGAATTCAATCGTGAAGTGGTAAATTGCGATACTCGAAGCAGTGTAGATAAAGTTGTTGAAGGTCTGAGTGACACAGTAGACTTTTTGATTTGATCAAAGAAATGTATTTATCTGTTCAAAAAAGTGATTTTGTTAGATGTTTCCCACCCTGTTTATTGTCTATTATTTTCTTGACAGATACTATTTGTTTTCTATGATAACGAAGACATTTGTATTTCAAATCGCTACTTAGAAAAGTTCTTTCTTCGATTCACTGTCAACAAACATTCAGATTTAACAACCCACTCCACAGGTAGATACATAGTATGGCGTTTTAATCTCATTTATGACTCACTCAGCTGACTATCGCTTTATGATGAACGTGGAGAACACCAACGTACATGAATCGGTCACAAGTGGCTAATCGACGCAGCTGGTTAGCCCTAAGTGCTCGCCACTGATCAAAGTATGTCAGTCAAGTATTACCATGTGACGACAAGGCTAGGTGAAGCGACATTGCTGTGCTAACTAACACCCAACAATTAACAGCATCTTGTCAACAGCAATTTACTGGCCTGATATTTAGAAAAAATAAAGTGATGATACTTTGTGAATCAAAGAAACTCTAACCCTACTGAAAATTCTCTCAAAATGTTAAATCAAATGCGACAAAACCATTTAAAAGCATAGATGAAGTATTTACGGTTCAAATGTTTTAATCACTTATATAACTTTGAAAGAAGTAGTGTATGACCTCTTTCTTTGACGCGGTCACCCTAGAGAATTGGTCATTCTGAATAAGCCGATTATAGTTCTGTTACCATATTTCATTTTCTAGCCTCTTATTCAATTTCAGATTCTCAAACATCACTAAGTTCACTCAACTTTATTGGTATTATGCAATTTATTTCCAGTCATCTTCCCCCACCTCCAAAAAACGGTTAGCTATTCAAGGACTAGACCTTATGAAAAATTTGGATTAAGAAAGGGGTAGGGGTTCTTACGGAATTTTTAATCCTACCAGAGTAGATACTCTGCCAACAAGCTTGATGGACTTAAATCTACGACGTATATAGGATCAATTGATGCAGTAAATATTGGTCTTTTTTATTTCGTAGATCTTTATAATTTCATTTTAAATACTCCTGAAGTACTACTTAAGAGTTGAAGTTTGTTAGAAAGCTAGAAATTGTTTCAAATTTATAATGTAAAACGTTTCATCTCTCAGTTTTTGAGTACATTTAAAAAATTACTCAAGATAAGGCTGATATTTTTGTGGTAGTGTTTATTGTAAACACCACTGAACATTTACCATATGTAAACACAGGTCATGTGCTAGAATAAGTCTCAAACTTACAAGTTTCTATCTGTGCTTTGTTACGGAATAAAATGGTAAACTGTTTCGCTAGATTATCATTTTTATTCGATAAAAGAGCAGATGAAAAACGTCAATGCGAAAATAGTTACCATTAGAAACAGAACTGGTTAATTCAAGTTGTGAAAACTCCGAAGCTGGATAAAAAGAAATTCTTGGAAGTAATACACAAAAGGAGGGTATTTGATTAAAACGAAGTTCATAAGGACGGACTGACATCTTAGTTTATCATTGATGCAGAGAGAAAATCGATAGCAACCCCCTATTTAATGCAAGTTACACGCTTATTATTCTTTACAAACAAAATATTTTACTATTTTTATGGAGTGAGGCAATATCCCCTAGATTCCTCAAAGAAGCCTGGAATTTCTTGAAAAGGTTTCATAACTAGTCATGACATCCAGAACATTTACAAAAAACCACGTGATCATACATGTGACTTTCAGATTGGCTAAAAGGTTTTCTAGAATAGAGTAGGACATATCAAGTCTATTGAGAACGCATATAAACCGTTATTTTTTGTACACATTTGACTTGAAAATGAACCTTTTATCGTTGTGCTACTTCTTTCTGTCTTTTGGGGAACCAGGCGACCCTCAAGGGTGAAGTCTAAGGTTATTTTCAAGAGTCCGCTCATATATATATATGTATGCATACAGGTAGGACTCATCAAGCATCTACAGTAACTTATTTAGTATTAATCACTCCCATTAGTTAGTTAGAGAATGGTAGTTGATTTTTACATGTACAAACTGTAAATTCACTATGGATTATTTAGCTATTGGGATAGGAGAAATGATGATCAAACTGGACATAGTTACATATCAATATATTAGCTTTGCTAACCGCTTAGCTTGCATATAACACCTATCAATCATTTTCCTCTCAAGGCAAACAACTTAACAAATTATCTTGATACTAAATAACGTTACAGTTCACCTCTGAATAAACTAGAAGAACGTTCTTCTTTGATGATGTGTTCACTTGGCTATTTGTTTCGAAGAATGTTCAGTGTTTTCAGTTAATAGACAATAAAAAGAATATTTTACGATTGAGCATAAAACCAATGTGACCTGGCAGTTACTTTGAGCTTCTACTCATTGACTACTGGATTAGCAGTTCTATTTCTCCATACAATAATGCTTCTTTAGACTATATTTTGTCATTTAATTAAACCTTGTACTTCAATAATCAGTTTTTGCGCTTAAATGATTCAAGTTTATGTTAAATAATTACTTACAGATCACATTGAATAATACTATGGTTCGTGAACCAGGATCAACTAAAGGTTTGCACCTAGTTTTACGTCGACCGTATCGAAGAAATGTAACACAACCAGGATTGTTGACGGTTGATTCAAAGCCTTCCATTATGCAGGTATTAGTGATCTGTATTATAGCGATTATTATTTCATTATAATATTGAATATTTATGAGTCATTTCCTTTGATTTATATCATTTTCGTTCAGGTTATATAAACTAACCAAGATTGGTGCTTTCTTGATGCAAACCTTTTTGAAAAAATAATCCTAAGTGATAGTTGAATGTTTATTCAACTATTACGTAACTTATGTATATTCTTAATTATCGAGACTCGAACTTCACTTTGATTGTGTATAGTTTTGCAGTTGCATTCATCTTGACAACAAGGTTGTCATAGTCATTTTATCGCTTAGATTGTCATGCATATTAAGTTAAATAGGCAACTGGCCAACTAGAAGTGATGTGAATACACGTCAATGAACAGTATCGAATCCTTTGTCATTAGTCTAGTAGGAATATATAGGTTTATAGAGGAAATTGAGTTGAAAAGTTTATCTTTTCAAAATAATATACGCAATAAACTTCTAGGTTAAGAAATCCTCCTGCAGTATTCAGCGCTTTGTTTAAGATACACGTAAAGTAAGTTATCGAAAAGAATCAACAAATTCCTTACAGCCTGAACTGTGTAAGTAAAGGAGAAGATGAGACTAGTCATAACCCCAAAGAATATAAAATGAACTGAGATCTAGTCAGCATGAAGAAAAGTTATATTTATCCTTTATAGTCGTGAAACAAAATTTTCATTGCTGAAAGGAAACTAACAGTTGTATCTGAACTGAGAATACCTTCATATAAAGAAATCAAGATTGTAAACTGTGATTATTCAAAGGTTAAGTGAAGAGGATAACGTCTGAAAGATCATCTTCATAGTACTCATGATGTTCTGTTAATATTGAGACCAGTCCATATGAAGGATTCTAAATTGTTGGAGTTAGATCTAGCCTCTTCCTCTGTAAAAAGACGTCAAGCAGTGTAAGACTTACTTTTTGAACATGAACTTTATCAATTTAGTCCTTGTTGTAACATCATTGCTACAAAGTAGTGAAATCACTCTAAAAGAGAGATCGGTGTTAACTAATGTTACTTCATCTGTGGCTCAGTTCATATAACCTCCAAAATAGCGTTGTCTCCTTCAGTGTACACTGGTTAGGTGAAGAAAGTGTAAATAGCTCGATATTAGCTCAATTAGTTCAAACAGACGATAAACCTACTATGAATCAATCATTTACCACGTCTTCGTTAATTTATGAAAAGCTACCGGATAACGAATACTTCAGACAGCAGAATCTGTAGCCATTTGACTTAAAAAGGCTGAATTATGTGTTCATACATTTGAAACTACTACAGAAATAACTTATCATTTTCTTTAGGCTTGGGATGATAGACTCTTTTTTTCCAGTGAATCAAGTAATAAAAAAGTCAATGATATAAAAAATGCTCATCAATTTGATGGTTTTCATATTATGATGCATGAAAATAAAAAGAATGGTTTTGCTGGTGATCTACCCGCGGATGATGTATTTAAAGCTGGAAGTACACGATCCATTATTTCATTTGGACTTCGATTTGGTCAGTATGTTAGCGTCAGTATAAGTCAATATGTGAGTCACTTGTTGTTCTTGATATTATTTTTCAGTTTAACATGTCATGAAGTATTATATATGTCGATTTTTATATTCTAGTTGCTTAATGGTGGGTTTTGGTGCGTACTACGCTGTTCATTTTTTCACCTAAAATACGAATTTACACGTGCTCTGAAATCGATCTTTTTATCGGTCCACCTACTGAATTATTCTGAGATATAGTAATGTCTTTAATCCAACGATATTAATTCTATACGATATAAGAATTGATCATTTCATCGACTTCAATAGCCCATTGTCTGGAGTTGAGAAACACGGTGGAGTAATGTCATATTATTATTAACTTTCAGGGATATAATACTTCTGCATGGAATCTCAAATGAACTTAGTATTGAACGTTATGAAGTAGTTTAAATAACTGCATAGTAGTTCTAGTGATGAGTAACTTCAAAGTTGATGTATGTTTTCAGAAAAGTATTTTCCTAGTATCATTAAAATCATTCTCCTTACTCAATAGTATTCTTCACTTCCTCAGTATTCTCCTTGATAGACAAAAAAATCAGTTAGTTACTCGACAAGTGAGAAAGTGACGTGACTGACTTGGCTTATTACGTGGGTTTTAATAATAAGCGAAACGAGTAATAACGTAATGAGATACTTGGACTGGATTCGAGTTATAAGACTGTTCTCCTTCATACCTTATACTTCACTGAGCCGCGAAAATCAGAAGACAAAAGATGGTCCTGTGACTGACTTAAGGGAAACGATCTTATTTGACAAAAAACATAGTATTTATATACAGCTGTTACTTAGGAAATGAAGCCAATCAGATGGACATAAATCATGGTCTGAAACGGAAACATTCCTACCCAAATGGCGAATGACTTTGAAAGATGATTTCCATTCTTCGCCACTTCCTAACAAGGCGGGTTGACTTAATCTTTATTATCCAGCTAAATACAGAATATCTCAATAGATATTCATGCAGAATACGTTAACTTCCATATTCCAGGTGAAGCTGCAGTAAAGCTGGATTGAGATAGTACGCTTACCTGCAGACCAGTAAAAATTGGGGAATTATCGAACGGAATATAATTCAATTTTGAGTTTTCACGAGACTTGCTGATTTCAAGTTGGTATGCATCACAAACTGGCATATGTTAGAGAACCACTGAAAACTTGCAAACGTCTGATAATTGCTTCATCCATGTATTGATTGGTCACAGGAGTGCAACCAATTTCATATTGTCTAGTCCTGAGTACAGACCGAACTCTATCAATCATAATTGTTTCATCCATGTACGAAAATCTTTAGCAGTGCCCACCCGTGATCCATGAATTGGCAGAAGTAGGGATATATAAACTTATGGGTTGTGATCCGGTGGCCTAGCGGTAATCTACAAGCCGTGAAACGTGGAGGTCCTAGGTTCCGTTCCTGCCGAAATCATGGATTCGCACTGCTGACATGTTCCATAGTATGCCGAAGCTGCTATCCACTACTCCCGGATTTTCAGTGGTCCTCCAACTGTTGTCATTCTGTGGTGAACACCAACCTGAACGGGATGAATTTGCCTATTTATTAGTGAAATTTATTTCAAATCAATATGTTTCCCTCACCATACGGTGTGAACAAGCTTCCTCTGAATCATTGTCTTTACACTTTATCAGCTGATCTATTTAACCAGGACGTTGAGTGAATTATAACTGATAGAAATTATTTGATGACAGGGGAGCCATACTAATCTAACTCAAAATAGTGGAGTGGGGTGATCACTTCAAATACTAGAAGAGTTCCGTTCACCAGAACAAGTTGGTTATTAAATAAATCATATCCCGGATACAAAATACTGATGTGACGTTTGCAGTTTTCCCCTTACAGTGTTTGTGAGATATCCAAACATGCATCAGAAGATAAGAATGGTGTGCATCACTCCCTTCTTGCTTGCTGCTCAGCCTTGAGAAGTAGACAGTTAGAGTAGAAGATAAGGACAGGTTCCAGTTTTCTGACTACAGGTGTCTTTAAAGTACTGCTCACAAGTGACAGAATCACTGCGCGAGCAATTTCAAACTTAGGAAAAGGTTACTAGGTAACGAAGGCAATTCAGTTGATAAGGTTGTGAACCATCATCGACTGAACTGGTTTGGATATTTTTTGTGCATCCAGGGCTACCACTTACCTCAATGTGTGGTGTAAGCCGATTTCAGCTATGGGTGTGAAAAATCTAAAGATGACTGGACTGTGACAAGACATTATTCCATGAAGTCTTTGACTACTGATCTGAGAAATGTAGGCAAATGTTGACCTGTCATTTGGGGTCCGCACGACAACAGAAACCAGTGTTTGGGACTTCAGATGATATGGGTGATTCAGAATCGATCTTAGTGACGCAGATGCATTCATACATTATTTCGATCTTAGTCATGATACTGATTTTCATACTTCTTAATTCCTTCTTGTTCTGTTCTTATGACTTTTTACCTTTTAGTATTTTCTTATCTTGATTTCCCTACCCTTTTTCTTTGTGCCTCCTGACTAGATATGCTGCAATAAGTTGTGATAACTAAGGTTCCTACGCAGTAATCCCAGATCCAACGTCGATGTTGACTGGATGAATAATAATTCAGAAACATGTGAAAATTCTAGTCACATATTTTTCAAAAGACTGAAAGAGTCACCCTAATCGAAAGTTATCCAGTTTTTACTCTAGTTACTTACCTGTGAGAGGTTATATGAAATCCATGATAAATCCTATTTCTATACGGAGTGACGATAGCTGAAGGTGAAATGAGGACCTAAACAGCAGTATGATTCGAATTAGTAGTCTATAAATTAACTGAGTCATGAGACATAGCTGCTGAAAAGGTTTAACGTTACTTCAGCAACCTACTTTATAAATATCAACATTGGGTTAGTACTTCTGCCTTAAAGTGATCTATCCTTAATGCTTGAATAAATCTGTGCTCTGAAGTCTTTACGATTCTCATCGAGCATTCCTGATTCCATTTGCTGTTGTGACGATACAAGTGTGTCGCTTTCTGTTCTACTCTAGATGGGGAAATCAATATAAAACATGGTAAAGAATTGCATTACTTGAAGTTGTCGTACTTCACAGTGGCATGTTTAGAAAATTGGGTCTCGAACAGAATGAAGGATAAAACTAGCTGTAGAAAATATTATGCGAGTGCAGAGTGAATAGATGAATGTTGGTGAGAATGCTGAATGCTTCCAATACATTGAAGACTGAACATAATCTACTCTCTTATGACTGATTTTAAGCCCCATTACCAGAAATCTATAGTCATTCGTCTCTATCTTCTCGGGGACTCCGATCAAGCTGCTTACACCTTCCTACACTTGACATACAGTCTAACCACTTCTTGATCTAACTGACCTCTATTATTCATCTAACCCAATTTCATTTCATCAATCTTATGACGAAGAGAAAATTGAATTAAGTTGATTTCAAATCATATTTTTCTTACTTCGTTCAGGAATTAACCTTTATCTTCACGTCTCCTTTAATCGTATATTTCTTCAAACTTACATCACGCTGCATTATAAACTGTCAAACTCTTTGTGAGCTTTTGTACTACTAAGTTTTCGTCGATGTGATTATCACACTATGTAAGTGGAAGGATCAAATAGTTTTTCTCATAGACAATGTCAATTTCTAAATATTTCATGATATTCTATTAAATGAATGCAACAAGGAATGTGGAAGGGTCATTCAGGTTTGTGAAGGATCTTCACGAATTTTCCCCAACATATCACAAGGCCAAGCTCTTTTGTTCACCTAAACGTCAATAAGTAACTTCATGGTTCATATCCCTAACTTTCTACTAAGCTTTATTTTCATACATTTAAAGGTAGTATGCACAAGTTACTCTGACTATCAACTATGTGCAGAGTTTGGTTTCTGGAACAATAACCACTGTACGAAGTACCAGTAACAGGAATTCAGAACAGCATGCTGCTAGACATTTGAATCAAACAGTTAAAGTGTGTTGTGTAAATAAGCATTAATGTGTTTTTTATTAGAAAGACATCACCTAAGTTGATCATCCTTGTATTCGTGAGATTTTAGATTCATCAAAGACTGTCAACATTTTTTCGACCATGTCGAGAAATTATTGCGCATCACAAATACTTACAAATGTCTGATTTCTTCTCTTCCGGTGGTAATCGTTGGAGATATTATAGATTAGGCTATACACATACAAATTGTGTTGCACAAATGCGACAACTTGTTATGCTAAAACAGTGTAATTGCCTATCTGAAGACTATTTAATTCCTACACAAATGGTCAATGCTTTAGTTGAAAATGGATTCTGCCATTCACCGAGTAAAAAATATCAAAGCGGAACACCGGAATTTATTGAAAGAATTGCGTGTCATGACCGTATTGCAGCTTTGCCGCGTGAAAAAGTAAGTTGCATGCATTTTCAACATGATATTCAATATCTGGTTGACCAGTATATGGTTAGTTATTCAAATATTGTTTTACTGAATAGACGATTTCCGTAACGACGTTGTACGATAGTCTGAAACATTAAACTGTCGAATATTCTATTACAAAATGTATTGCTACACTTAGTTGTTTCCTACTGTTATGGAAAAAACAAGAGTTTTACTGTGCTCAGGAACAGATCTTACTGGATGGGAGCATACAAGTGTTACTGTGTCCATGAAGAGTTTCAAAGTGAGATAAAATGGGTATCCGGAATAGCCTACTATTCTGTAATAATTCACCCATCTTACGAGCTTATTATTCATTGTAGCTATCTGAAATGACTCTAAAGGTGAGGTCAGTTATAAACACGTTTTATAGAGCACATGTACACGTTAAACAATGGGAAACGTTAGTAAGATTATTGGCGAAAACGAATTATATATATAGGAATGTACTGTTAATTGGTGAAATAAAAGCCTGAAGATTTGAAGAAATTACTTATCGTCATTGAAAAGAAAATGCTGACAAGCAGGATAGAGAAAGGTTGATTAAAAATAATAGTCATCAGTACTCTCAACAAAAACCAGTGAATATCAAGAAAATATGACTACTAAACTGCGGAACTCATGAAATAACAATGTACGTTAAAACACTATAAAGGTTTCAAAGCCAGGGAAATTGGATTCATTTTTTCCCTCAGAAAAACAACCAATATAACATCATTTAATGTATCTGATTATCAAGCTGGGGATAATGCCAACTGTTTAGGTTGGTTTAATACACAGACAGAAATTAGAACAAATGTAGTACTTTATAAGTAAATGCATTGCGCCAAGTTGTCATAATTTTGAAAATGTATACAAACAATGGACGGGGATACGCTGGACCGGAGAAAAGAACCTAGAAGATTTGGATTTCACCGATGACTTATGTCTAGTGTCACACAAACTTGAAGATCTACAGGCGAAATCCAACAAGTTGACAGAAGAGGCAGCGGAGACGGAACTTCGAATGAATATGGAGAAGACAGAGGTGATGATAGTAAACAACCAACACCACCACCACCAACAACAATAAGCTCCAATCACCATCAACGAGAGAAACTTATCAGAAGTTGTCTGTTTCACCCACCACCTAGGCATGGCAGCATCGTTTCAACTACAGGCGGTGGTGGCACAGACAAGGACATCAAAGCAGCCAGGATCGAAAAGACAGCAAGACAGGCGTTCATTAAACTGAAACCAGTGTGGAGATCCACTGCACTACACTCAGCACAAAACGTGAACAGGATCCGAATTTTCAACTCCAATTCAGTTGAGTCAGTGCTTCTATGTGATGGTTGAGAGACTTGGCGCTTCACGAAAAGCATTTCCAACAAACTACAGATATTCATCAACAACTGCCACCTACGCTGGCTCGATACTGAAGATCAGATAGATTGCCAGAAGGAATGAGCAACGAGGAAGTCTGACCTGGCAACAAACCAACCAACAACCTATCACCCAACAAATATGCAGAAGAAGGAAGTGGAGATGGATTGGGTTGGGCATACACTGAGAAGGCCGACTGGGGATATCACTTGCCAGACCAGGCGGTTGAGTGGAATGTGCATAGGTAACGATGAGTTGGGTATCCGAGGAGAGAGTGACATGAAGGAGATGGTGTGAGGAAGAAATGAGAGCTTGTGGGCTGTTGTGGAGCCAGGTTGAAAAGATTGGAGAGAAGAGAGTGCAATATGGGTGAGCTACTGAAGCCCTATATTTTACTAGGAACCCAAGGGACAGATAATAATAATAATAATAATAATAATAATAATAATAATAATAATATAAACAATGATTGTTACCATTACCATCTTTTTATGTCTTGCAGATTCAGGAGAATACTAAAAGATGAAGGCTCACTTGTCTTCACGAAAAGCGTTTTATTTTTGCTTAGAATGCTTTAAATGCATTCATTTTGGACTCATGATTAGCTAATTTCATTTGATCGGTCTTACAAAACATTAAACTGTCCAGTAAAATTATCTGTTGCCAAGCATCAGTGTCGAAAAAAATGCTGAGAACAAGATCTTTGTTTGATGTAATTCCTGTCACTGTATCACTTCCAATATAAAGTCAATTTTAAAATCTATCACCCTGGGCAAGGCAGTGATGAACTGCCAAGATCTCCTCAACTCTAGACAAGTTTGTTACGCTCCTCTTTGAATGTAAAATTAAGCAACACTGAAATCATAAATTATCATAAGATGTTTTGATTTGGTCACTTCTGTTACTTTCCTAGTTTGGTCCTACATTATGACTGTAGGAAATGCTGGACTGCATATTGGCTGATGATACATAATGAATGCATCAAAACCATGAAAGCTGAAGCAGGCATCTAAATATATCACTCATTTTTGCTGTCTTTCTTTTTTTATTAAAGATTGTTGAAATGACAATACCTAAGGTTTATGAAACAACTATACTGGTACAATTAACACCGGAATTAGAAAGACTATGGAATTGTCCTAAATTTTGTGAAGAACTCGTTATTCAACCTGAAATTATTCAACATCAAACTATCCTTAACCATATCAATGTCAAAGATAATAAACAACAATCGTCTGATGAAGAGATTACTTCAGAAGATCTGGCTATTATCAGTGTTTATGCTAGTGAAGCCAGTGTACCGATAATGAGTGAAGGTGAACAAATGAGTATTTTCAGTTTGATCGCTTCAATTGGTGGAGCGTTCGGTTTATTCTTAGGATTATCTGGAGTAACATTGTTTGAAATTATTGAAGCCTTATGTGTGATTATATACACTTTACCGGCAATGTTCAGAATACTTGGACGCAGAATCACTTCGAAGTGGATTATCAAACAAAAAAGACGGGAGCAAGAATCTTGAGTGAAATGATTAGCTCAATACTTCCTAAATACATTCAACAGTTTTGGCGGAAAAATCTCACTGATTTAAACAATCTAGTTATTTTTCAATATCTCAAACTGCCTATGTGTGATAAACTAAAAGGAACTTATCCTGCTAATCTATACTCTTTTCAGTTACATCACCAAATCGTGATGAGTTTTTGACACCATCAACATCTTTTCTTCTCTGCGAACTTTGTGCATATATTTATGACGCTTAGAAAAAGTCAGACGATCATATGGATGTACAACTGTAGGTAAGATGAATACGTCTGTCAAGCGTTATTCTCATCAGTATTGACTGACATAGTTAAAACTGAGAAGATTCAAATTATCAAAAAAGAGATACGGATAAGTGTAAAAGGAAGGAGGTGGGAAACTAACTGTCAGTAGGCAATGAAATTATATTCCATATTAGTTTTATTTACTTGATTTTTAGTGATACAGTATTATTTACTTCATGACTTTCTGAGCATAAATATTGCTCATAATCATATCAAAGTAATCACCCAAATTGTAGATGGTAGTATCCAAACCATTATTTTATCATGTAATGTAAGATAGGTCATTCGCCTTGTTCATTTTCTACTTCGTAAGTGAATTGAATTGGGCTTACTACTGAGCTTATATGTGTGAAGAAATTGTCGATACATTCCAATTTCAATACAGTAAATGTATCATCCGCATATCGCCAACATATTTTAGGTGCAGGAAACCGACACATTTTAACAGGTATGTAGACTTCAAGTCATCTCATTCAATGTCAGTTAAGGCAGGTTTCGTCAAATGTCTAAGTGATAGAGCTAAGAAGTCCACCAGTCATTGTAGGAACTTAAACAAGGAACTGAAACACATAAAATGCGCTATTAATTAATAATTATCTTCTGTAGTTTATTACGAAATTCAGAGGTGAAACAGAAGAAATAAATGCAGTAATATGAATACAAATATTGGCGACAAAACGAGTAGAAAGGAGTTGATAGCCTCCATTGTATTACCATATAAGGAAGGAACATCAGTGACTTTACTTAGGATCCTCGACAAAGCTGGAATTAGTATGACATTTAAACCTACAAACTCACTCAGAGATAAGCTTTGTCAACTGCCTTAAACAACCGATAGATCCACTCAAGCAAATTTATCTGACCTATCAAATTCCATGCAGTGACTGCGAGGTCAAGTACATAAGTCAGACTAGCCTGTCGGAGTCAGTTAGCTTAGTGAAACATAGGAATTTAGCTAAATATAGAATGACAGACCCGAATAAGATTAAAAAAACTCGGCTATTGCAATGCACGCATTAGCACACAACCACACAGTAGGATGGGATAAAATCGCTGTACTTAGGTTCAATATCATTAGGTGGAGAGAGGGATTGATTACTGAATCTTTTTTTATAGAATCTACACCCAACAAGTGTAACAGAAGTGATGCAGTACCTATACTAGAGACACGGAAAACTTACCACTAATAAAAACTAATAATATTAGATGACAGGACTAAAAAAGTCAAATGTCGAAATTTGTGTGATTACATTGATATGATTATGAGCAATAATTTATGCTCGAAACGTTATCAAGTAAATAATACTGTATCACTGTATATTTTAAATCAAATAAACAAATCCAAAATGGAATTACATTCTCTCAAATTGTCCAAGTTTCACACTTATATTGATGAAATGATATAACTTGCTCATTGGTGACTAGCCTCGAGAGGTGATTCCCAAAGTTCCAATAAGAAGTCGTGACCAGTGGGGCAAACCTGGTGGCCGTGAGGACAAATACTCAACGATGACATTGGACGGCGATCGCGCTATGTCATGAACTGATAGAAGTTGGAAATATCGATCACTGGATTCCGACCCAATCGCTCAATGATAACGTGCTGACTACGGAACCTGAAGGTTGAGGGTTCGATCTCTGGCGGGGTCGTGGGTGCCCACTGCTGAAGAGTTCCATACTGGGAAGAAACAGTTGTCCAGTGCCTCCAGGTTTCCAATGTCCCTTCGTTTGATGTCAATGCATCATGTATACCAACTTGAAATCAATAGTCTTTTTTAATAAAATTTAGTGAACAATAAGATTTGGTATTTGGTAAAATTAACCAGCAAAAATGTCATAAAATATAAACAAATAAATAAAATACAAAATGAAATGAAATGTAAACGTAGCTGCAGAGTAACTGGTTAAGGTCATGGTATGGTGAGTGTTTGCACGTTTGCACGTTCTGAATACGCAATTTAGGTGTGAGACTATGAACTGCCAAAGCTTTGGCTGCGCATAAATGTCCGATCCTCACCCCTTTTCGAACGGTTCAGTAGAACTTTGTAGAGAACTTTGAAAGAGATTTCTACTGAAGTCAGATGATCAGAGTCTATGAGATGTTCCACTCCTCAGTAACCAGGCTGCGTGATGTTCTTGAGCGCGTTTTTCAAGCAAGCGCATATTACGGTCCATGTACTCAGCTGCACACGAGCAGGTGAACTTGTAAAAACATAATGATGAAGTCCAATGCTTCAGCTCGGCTTTCACGCACTAACAAATCAGCTATTGATATGTGAAATTAATACGGACTTTTGTGGCATAGAATGCTTTACTTAGCGAGTTTGTTAAACGTTGAGGAAGGATGTCAGCAGTAATATCAACTCTAAGATTTATTAGAAGCATTTCCTTCTGAGCTATCTAAATCTGTTCTATAGTCTTATTTTCTTTCATATTTTTCTTTATAGATCTGGATCGGTGACAGTTCTTTAACAGTATTTCTCAGGGGGTTTCTAATTCTTTAACAAGTGTATCACCACTATATATCTTTCTGATTCTTCCTGAGAGTGAGCGCGCAAGATTACTGTTCTTACTTAAAGATACTCAAATTTGAAAGCAAGTCAGTTGACCTTTCCAAGTAGGCTTCATGTATAAAAATATTTGAATGAAATTATCAGACCATCTTTGGAATTTGACATCGAGGAAATGAAATGTTGAGTTTGATTTGGCTACCAGAATAAATTTGACTGAAGTGTGACTGCCGTTGAAATTTCGAGGTAGGCATGTCAGGTCCGGGTCGGCATCACAAATAATGAAGGTATCATCCATGTACCTTTTGTATATATGAAGTTGGTCGATTGCTCGGATAAATATGTTAATCTCAATGATAGCCATGAAGCAGTCGGCAAGTGGAGGTCGATCCCATTGCTACACCATTAATTTGTCAATAGATTTCATTACTACATCCGAGGTGGACGTTAGACGTATATCCGCTTCCTTGACTTAGAGAATCTTGTTTATTTGACAAAATACGTGAAATCTCGTCAACGTAGTCACATTCATTCAGTAATTCTATCCCAGCGCTTTTATCTGGGAGGCTCATGATGAAGTTTTTATTTTTATAGAATTCTTTTAATTGATTACGACGATTCTTTGGAGGAGAATATCAGTTGTTGGGTTTACTGTTGATGTACTGGAGACAACAGTTTAGAGAGATTGATTTAAAATTAACGAGATCATTACTAAATGTTGTGACTAGATCTCTTGCTTGACTGATTAAATTCTCGAACTGAACTTTAGCATCAAGTTGATCGAATTTTGAACTGAAACCACAAAACTTGGGTCAAAGGGATAAGGTCAGCAACCAGATAGAAAAGAAAGATACACTCGAATAATTGAATACATAATTTTCAGGTGAATGGGGAAACAATGTCTCAACAGTAACGCATCTGAGGCTCTTCCTTAGCTTCATATCAACATTTTCAGTTCGTGCTGGTAATTCAGTCTTCCAATTCATTTCTTTCTTCGGTAGATGGTTGTGAGTGAGAAACTAAAAAGACGAGAAGCTGTGGGACAATAAAATGCAAGTTTGAAAGTTTATGTGGTCACTTTGTAGTGATCACGAACAATTAAGCATACTTGACAACACCACTGTGTTCTCTATTACATGAATCTATATATTACAATATTCAGAGTTTACTTTTATAGAATTTATCATCATTCATTAATCTGACTACAAAGTGCAACTATAAAGAAAACAAAAGTGATTGTATTCAACATTGATATTGGTATCTATGTCATACCTCATATTGTCTAAAGCTGTACTGTGAAGGCGTTGTAAACTATATGAAATACGATCGGGAATTATAAAGTTAGCTGACGACGAAAATATGTTTCGGGTACCTTTAAACATCCTTCACAAGCCTATATCTTGCTTTAAACCGGTCATATTCATTGAAACAATTTTTTTCGCCTCCGACTTCTTGAGAGTAAAATCTTCATCGTCAAGTATGTGAAGTGGTGATTCAATATTATCGCCTTTTTGTTCTTGATATAACTAGTATAAACCTTTTCAGTAAATTCAACTAAACCTTTAAGCAAACATGGAGTGAATTTAAAGGTCACGCTAGCTACTACTGAAATAACCAATCAGCTTTCAGCATTTCGTCTGGCAAGGCAGATATTTCCAATACAAAGAAACCTGATTGCTTATCTCAGCAATTGTAAGGGTGGTCATTAGAGTCACTCGCTAACATCGCACCTTTGCAACACCTGAAATAAGCAGTCAGACTTATGTGTTTTATAAAACCCTGCTTTTCCAGCCAAAAGGAAGAAACCCAATCGGCGATTTCGATCGTTGCTAGGATGGCCTTGAAAGTCGCCCTAAGTATTGAATGTGTAATTTTCAAAATGATGCTTCGCGACTTATTTGAACTAAACTCAGGTTATAAGATTCAGAAGAATTGGTTGAGCATGGATTTAAAATGTTGTGTAAGTTCCCGCCATCATTTAGCCCAGCAATTATGAGCATGAACAAAGATTTCAGGAGTGACTTCAAAGGCAACCTTGAAACAGATAAATTAACTGATCAGATTTCTCTGTTTAGTGAAAATCTGCGCTTTCAGTCAAAAACAATTATTATTATTATTATTATTTGTCGCTTAGGTTCCTAGTGGAACATAGGGCTTCACTAGCATGTCACCATTTCACTCTCTTCTCTCCAGTCTTTTCAACCTGGCTCCACCACTGCCCACAAGCTTTCATTTCTTCCTCACATAATCTGCTCGATGTCACCGTCGCCTAGGACGCCCAGCTCGTCGTTTCCTATGCGGATTCCACTCGAGGGCGTGGGCTGGCGCATGATATCCCCAAAATGTCTTTCCAGTCTGTGTTCTATTCAATCCAATCCATCTCCACTTTCTTCTGCA